TTTCCAGACTAAATAGTCCTAGTTCTTTAATGTACCTTCAAAGGTCCAATTTTCCAATCCTTTGGATCTTGATCTTTTATAAAACGGCATCCAGTGTTGCGCAGAATTCAATAACAGAAGCAAACATACACGAAGATCATAGTGGTAGAATTATATTCTGGGCATGAAAATAACAATCCTATAAATATAATCCAATAATACCATAGTGTTTCTGATAATGCCAGATTCATTTTTATTCTGCTTGCACTCTATTGTAAGTCCCCCTTTTCAAAATCACCATGGATCTGGAAGCATGTGCGCCCCACGTACGGAGATAATACGTAGAGGTGTGATTGCATTTGAAAAGGGTTGTGATCACACTTTCACTTTGTGCTGCCGTAGCACACACTGTGAGCTGTGCTGAAATGACACGGCCCTTTCTTATTCTTTGGGGCCAACACCCAACTCTTCATGGGGTCCCGACTCCTCCTCAGCTCCAGAGGGCGACTCTCTCTCAGTGTAAATCAACCAGTCACCTTTCCTGCTGATCAGTGTAAGAATGCGCGTGGACCCGCCTCCGGACGATGGGGAGTGAGGCCGTGTCCACGGGGGATCGGATCTTTCGCATCACTCCAGAAAAGTACCCAAGGAAGAGACGCTGTCTTCGCTGGGTATTATTAGTAGGGGATATGCCATTCGGAGCTGCCACAACCGTCTTATAAACACCAAGGGTCAAGGCCGAGAAATGAAAGGCAAAGATCCTGAAGGTGGCCCTTAGCTGCCTGGTTGACCGACCCTGGACTCCCTGTTCTAGGAAATAATAAATCCCTTTGCTATTTAGTGGTTTTCAAAATGTGGTCCCAGATAAGTATCGTCATCTGGAAATTTTGAAAAATGCAAGTTCTTGGGCCCCACTCAGACCTGCTGAAAAGGCATGTAGGAGTGGAGCCCAGCGAGGTGTCTTAACCAGCACCCCCGTAATTCTGATAAGCCCCAGCGTTTGAGAACTACTGGTTTGAGCTTGCCGTAGTCTGAAAGTTGTGTCTCCCCCTCTTCATATGTTAAAATTCTAATTCCCAAGGTGATGCTATTAGGAGGCAGGGCCTTTGGGAGGTGATTAGGTCACGAGGGCAGAGCTGTCATGAATGGGATTAGCACCCTTATAAAAGGGACCCCAGAGAGCTAGCTCATGCCTCCCGGCATGAGGACACAGCCAGGAGGTGCCATCTATGAACCGGAAAGTCAGCCCTCACCAGACACCAAATATGCCAGCACCTTGTTCTGGTACTGCTCAGCCTCCAGAACTGTGAGAAAAAAATATGTGGTTTATAAGCCACCCAGTCTACTGGTATTTTGTCACAGCAGCTGGAACCAACTAAGACCGGTTGGATTGGGGTTTTTATTACTTGCAGCTAAATACATCTTAGTTAGTACAGCCTTTATTTTATGCATGTTCTCTAGAAAAATCTGTCAGTTAGTATGATGTTTCTGTTCTATGTCAATGTCATCTGATTGACATGTTGAGACAGAAGGTCTGGAGGGACAGGGACACGTTGTGTGTTCCCTGATCTGTGCTGGAGGCCACCCAGGTAGCCTGGTAAGGAGCTGAGGGACTTTTCTTAAGGTGTAAGTAATTTTGATAAAAATGTAGAGCTTTTTAAGTTCCTAACTGAAAGGAGGGGATTCTGAAATAGAGAAAAAGAAAACGTAAGGGGTAAAGACTCACAGACGGAGCTCGTGTTAGAGGAGCAGAGTGCCTACAATAGGACAGGAGTCTCACATGCAGCGGAAGGGCCATGGGTAACCTGAGAGCTCAGGTGGGCTCAAAAAAAGTAGGCGCAGCACGAAATTAAAAAGGCACTAATGAAAAGCAGACAGGAAACCACCAAACTGCTTTTTAGGGTCATTTGGAGGGAAAAAAAGCTGAAGACGCAAGAGGAGAGACCCAGGTGGAAGAGTCAAAATCTAAAAGGAGACCCTAACGGGATGCCTAGTGTTTTCCCAAACTGACACTGCATTAGGCTGGTTATATCCCGTATGGCTCACCGCCAAAGCAAGAGTTACGAACATCAGATTTACTTAGTTGTATAATCCCAAGAAATGCTACTGGGGCAATGACAGGGAAGAGACACTGCATTTTCTTAAAGAATCATCATCATCCCCTCTCTCCCTCACCTGGAGGCATCAAAAAGTTTCTACGACAAGTATGCTAGCTAGCTTCACCTAGTCAATTCACAGATGAGTGCACTGACTAGTGAACAGTCTGTCTGGTCTGCGGAGCAATATTGAAGGCGGGTTTGAGGCAGGACTAGCTATGATCCTGTAGGCCAGCTCAGGGACTGGACTCGAAAGTCATGATGGTACCACAAGCTAACGTGCACCTTCCAAGCTGCCGGGGCCATCAATGCGTCAGAATCAAACTCTTCCCAAATCAATGCAGTGGGATCTTTATATTTCATCTCGTTTTGTCAGTAACACTTGACATTTTTCTAAAAGCCTCTAAATTGGTTCTGAGTATATCCAGGATCTACAGGTCTCTGAAACAGCTCCACACCACGGCCACGTACTTCACCTACAGTGGCTCCCTAGGTAAGGCGTTGATCCCCTCCTGCCTCACACGACGACAGGCATCATTTGCCCTCTCATCGTTAAAACAGTGAGCAGACTTCAGGGCTGTCGCACCTTCCAGACCGGGCCGCCTACTCCGCATGGCTAACAGGCTCCCGCAGAACCACTCACCGAGGCACGAACAGCTGAATGCAGGTCCGTGGCTTGTGCCATCAGCGTCACAAGTCCCCACACACTGGAGCGCGAGCCAGTCTGGCTGAGTTAAAAGTCATCATTTAAAAATCACCTTCCCAACTGCTCTGATTTTATTTGTTCCAGTGATGACACACACGTTAGTACGTGACTGTAATTTTAGGGCAAAGTGGATGCATAGAAAAGGATGCCAAAAAAGGAGGCAAAATCATCCTGGATAAACACCAACAGGCATCACCTTTGTATTTTCTGCTGCCTGAATTGCACCTTCTGGATCTGACGGTTTTACTTCTTTGTATTCTTCAACTACATTTTGGGATATCTTGTGTGCACATGTCAGGGAGGGAGCACAGCGGAGTGATTACAGTGCTGGTGTGACTCCGGGCCGGCCAGCACGGACAGTGTGCCCTCGGACTCGTCATTTAATGTCTGCACCTCAGTGTCCTCATCTATGAAATGGGGACAGCAATTCCTACCTCCCAAGGTTGTTATGAGCTATGAAGACGTGAATATTGGCAAAGCTTCTAGAAAAGCATCCAGTCCATCGTAAGAACTCTGTTTTGTGAAAGTAAATAAAATGTTCCTTTTTGTTTTTACAACATATTTATTTTTCATAAGTTTTGTGATCTGGGGGCTATTTTCTGGTTTCCAGAATAGAAGTTTTAAAATTAGAAGGAATCAAAGTACTTTTTGGCACCTGATATTTACTCATTTATTCCCAAACTCTAAAAGTAGATTGGCTTTATGTTAAACTCAGAATCCATACAGGAAAAGATCTTCAAACTTTATTCATTTCATAAATAATGTATTTTATTTTATTGCATATGGCTATTAAGGAGGGCATCCATGATCAATACAGACTAAGTACAATGCACTATTCTAGTCCAGTTTATTCTTGTCCCCAGCAGCATCACATCGACCCCTATATACAGCGTGTACAGTGGAAGACAGAGCAAGATAAGTTAAGTCTCTTGTCATATCACAATAGCAAGAAATATATTTAACATCTTGATATCCAGAAACAATACGTACCCAAAAAGAAAACACTGTTTAATAACTGTTAAAATTTATATAGCAAAAAATATTTTAAATTTAAGGTTAAGTCAGGCAAAATGTACAAAGACCCAATATACATCGTGAAGTTTTAGCAAACATAACATTTATACATTTTGGTTCCATTCTGTAAACTAAATTAAAAATGTAAATATTGCATATGCCTTTTCTTTTTGAAATGTACAGGATAGAAGAAAATGTCGTATATTACCCACTTATTTTGCTTGTTTTAGGTTGCAGTGTGAACATGAACCATTGGGATGGTGTCATGACTACCCTAAGTACAGAGGGCTAGTTAAATACATGTCAATTCACTGTATTCAGCAGGGTCCATATTCAGTCCTATTGTACCTGTCAGGGGAGTTACAAAGCAAATACCACCCATCGATTCCTATTCCCAAAACTAGATAAAAACTTTAGGACATTTTATACATCTTAATAAAGTATATCATACACTGAAACTGACCTTCAAACTAACATCGTATGGCCTATGCACTGCTGTGATGTATGATTTCAGAAAAGTAAAACTTTAAAAATGTTCAGGGGATCGCTTTACATTCAACTTTGTCTTGCAATACAATCCTCTGTTCTAAAGTTCAGCATGGAAGCAGGAAGACTTTTGCATTGCCATTAAATATACTTTTAAGACATTGAATTTTTTGGTCTTCCTCTAAAAAAGCCTCATTAATGCATTATTCTATAGTGATATATATCTATATATTTATATATATTTTTCTCAAAAGAAAAAAAAACCCAACAACTCACATCTCCAATGAATTAGTGTAACCTCTCCACTGACTATCAGAGAAGACAGGCACTGGGGGTGCCCCCACGGAGGAAGAGGCCAATGCTCTCCGATCACGTGTCGAGGGAGCAGCAAGATGGCAGAGCACTCTGCCAGCCAAGTTCAGCAGTTTTAGGTGACATCTGCGATAATTGCCACAACACTGATATTTTCAGAACACTGAAAACATAAAACAAGGGTAGTCTTGTCAGGAATTTTTTTTTGACAAGTAACATGTACTGCGAGATTGTTTTTCTTCTTTTTATTTTTCCATTAATAGAACTAGAGGCTTGAATGCCTCTTTTTATCACTTTATTTTTTTTCCTTTCTTTCTTTTTTTTGTTTTTGTTGTTTTTTTTTCTTTTT